CCCTAAATATGATAACTGCCCCGAAATAAATGCATAGTAAAGTGTAAGAGAGATAGGGTGAGGAAGACAAACAGTGAAGTCGTCAAGTGTTTGACGACTGCCTCGCAGCCGCTCTCCGTCATCTCCCCCGTTTTGATCAGAAAACAAGGACTGCAGGTAAACAGTATACGAATCTAGGAACCGCATTTGCTTCTGAAGGATTCTCCGATGATCTGCGACAACGGCCAACTGAATCTCTACCTTCTCCCGAGAGGCAGGAAACTGTCGTGGCAATGAAGGAGGCGGTGCACGTGAGACCATCAGATCAGAAGAAGGAACAGACGAACCTTCCGGTGGAGGCCCCTCGGGTCCGGTAAATACAACTGGAATGTCAACCACGCGATCTCCCTCAGTATACAATTGGGCAACAACAAATGGATCAAGGGGAGACGTAAGATAATCCGAAGGTGCTGGAGTAAAGCCCTGTCGAACTAGAATCCCATAAATAAGCGACGGTAACACCAAGATCGACCCCGTAGAACAACTACGAGAGATGGTGTCAAATAACATGCTCCCCAGATCAAAAGGCAAATCCATCCCGACACGATACAAAAACTGGGCAGAAGACAGTGTAATCACCGAGTTGTTCCTCGTCGGTGCCCAATTGCTCACACACAACTTGTGAAGTATTAAATATAAGGATGTGAGATATGAGCTGGGAAACCGGGCTTGCCATCGAGATACCCGACCACTCGTCAAATAAATAGCCACCTTATTCATATCAAATACAGACTCATTTGAAACACGCAAGTGCACTCCTAAGAAATCGCGAATCACAACAGGGCTAAACTCATAAAAATATTCCCGAACAAACACGCTTCGGGAAGACAGAGCTAGACGCCACAACCTCAGTAGCCGACGCAGATAAGTGAGCATAGAACTCTAATATAACATCACGAACGTATGGCACAACATAGGACACAGAGGTTAAAAGATCACGTCGTCGTAGAAAATCATCAATATTATAACGAGCAAATGAATCGGCATGAATACGACGATCGTCGATCACAGGAAGAGAACGTAAGAGATCAAACCTGTCATGTGCCTCTCGAGTGCAAAAACAATCCAACAAATCGTGCCTGGTGCAGCCAATGTACGGACAAAAGAGCTAGTGGCAGAGCTATCCCAAAAAATGGGTTCCGGAACAGAAGAATCTCTCTGTGGCGATATGTCATGTGAGGAGTGAGGTCCGGTGGACTCAGAGGTGAGCGACTCAGACTCCGGTGGAACAACAAAATCACTATCCCTCAAGTCGTCATCCTCCGAAGACGACGATGAGCATGGTACAGCTGCAGCGGAGGTCGAGCGATTCTTTACGCTCGTAAGAAAAGCAGCCAAAGTCTCATCACCGGAATCACTTGAGAACTCCAACTCGCTGAAATGATGCTCGGGTGAAGCCATGTGCTGAAGTTCGGATGTAGCCATGGACGGAAGCACGGGTTCGGTGGCTGGTTGAGGCTCGGGCTCGGGTGCGGGCTGAGACTCGGGCTCGGGTG